GCGGGCGCTTGGATTCATGGGGGGCTACACCAGGGGGTCAGGTATAATGTTGACTCCGTCCATTTATGAATATTTGTTCTCTAAACTGTGTTGGTTTTAAAGGGAGTCGATTTCACTACTGGACATATTTTGGTTTTTTTTTTCCAGGGGGCGAAGACAGAGATGGAAGTGACCCCATAGTAATCAACCAACCTGTTTATTAATATAGGGGGTGTCCCTTAGGTGGGGAATCAGGACGGGAACACCCCGTGAAGAAACACTGGGGCTGATTGATACGGGGTCAACAATACTCAATCCAGGATCTCAGCCAATTGTCGGGTCGGTTGCCCGGTGGACCACAGTTGAATCATGGACACACGACCCCATCCGCGTATGTGTCAATTATTTGGGGACGCAAGAAATGGTGGGCTTTCCATTCATTGCCCTACAATTCCACGCTCGAATGCAAAGGGCAGCCTCGAAAAACACGCAGACTCAGACACAAAAAAGCCAAAAAAAGAAAACAGTGGCGCCTGGAGGGAAAGGGAAAGGTCCCATTCCTTTGAAAGGTCGCGGTCAACTTGGGATGGGGGACCGTACTGATCAGTTGTTTTTTGTTCTCCTTTTTGCTTTACGGAAATTCACAGGCAGGTAGGTTTCTCTGAGCGTCCGGATTCAAAGTTGACATTGAAGAGAGCCCCAAAATAGTGCCGCCATTCAAGCAAATCTAGGGCGCTCGCCTCTGGTTTTGGTTGGATTATGAATAAATTGATCTCAAAAATGGTGGATCTCTCCGTTTTGGTTGGTGGAGAAATATCCCTTTGTAGGTGGCTCTACATGGCTTCACGAAGGCCATAGCGAAGTCAAAGCAACCGTTTGAGGGGACTCCTATTTTGAGAAGCTATGGATTTGTCTCAAAATCGGCGACGCGGATATAAACCCATGGTAGATCCCCCGATATATAATCCCTGTACATTCCCCCGTATAAACTCTGTAGATCTCCCCATATAAACCCATGGTATATCCCCCGATTTGGCCATGGATTTCGACCAAAAACTTTGGGATCTCGGGTGAAGCCGTCGCCGACGCAGGAGCTGAAGCCGTTGCCCAACCTCTTGGGTAAAAGCCAAGGCCGCACACTCAGTGTGTCAGCAAAACCTCCGGCCGTGGAAGCGGTGCCACCCGTCATTCGGAGCCTTTCTGTTCTTTTCTTTTCTTTTTTGTTTTGGGGGGGGAGAGTTGCTTTATATCGTACATGTTCCTTTTTTTTGAGAGGGGGGGGGCTGAGCTTGTTTTTTGAGGTGGGGGGGCTGAGTTGGACTTGGATTTGCCAGTACTTCATTTTGAATTGCCAATTCTAAGCTGAGTTTTGCCGAGACTTGATCTCAGACTTCCAGTACTTAATTGTGAATTGCCAAACACCGCAACCCAACGCAAGTGTTTGTTTATCAGGAAAACTCCATTTCAGCTGCGCTCAAAACCCTTCTGTTCATGCTTAGTAAAGGCCTCGCAATAGCACAGGCCCGCGTAAGCATCAGCGCGCACAAGCATGCTGTTTCGAGTATCCTTGCACAAGCTGCGCGTAAGCGACTACGAAAAGTTGCCACTCCTGAAGTAGCGCGCATCACGCACGAGCCTCGCGTACACTTCTGCGCGTAAGCTGTGACTGTAGGCCCGTAAGCGTTGGCGTAAGCGACTTTTTATCGCAGGGTTGTGTCTTTCGGTAGTTGTTCATGGCTGAATTGTTGCTTTCATGCACAGTGCAAAAGACGGGATCCCTCTGGGAATCGGAACCAACTGACCTCTGTTTGGGATGGACGAAATCCTGCATCACCTGAGAAACCATAGATTGATGATTCCCTGTAAATACCAACAAACAGTGGTTTCCCATGGTATTATTGTGGTGCAGGTTTCGTCCATCCACAGCATGTTGACCCGTGTCGCAGATGTTTGTTCAGCTCGCGGAGGTCAACGGCAAGTTCTCTCGGTTGCGCAGCTGCTGCAGCTGATTGCCGCGGTCTATGTCTTGCAGAAGGCGCTCTCTGTTTTTTTGGCTCGTGAGCCCCCATATCGGGTGGCTCGTGCTTTTTTGGGAGTTGGTACCCTTTTCTGATCAATCCAGGGGGCGGATCCGAAAAAACGACGCCCAAATGAGCGCCCACACCATTTTTTTCCCTAACAACTTTGATGTGAAAACAAAAAGATGAGGTTGACTAAAGATGAAACGGAAGGGGTTGGCCAAAGGAGGCTGTGCCCAGAGGTGTTTAGTCAGCTTCAGGTACAACTATGGCCCTTACTTGGACTCCGGTGTCGGCAAGTGCTGCGTAAAGGGGATACCAAGGGTTCGAGCTACCACCGCACCCCAAATGCACAAGCCCGGCGAAACCCACCAACGTGGCATTCCATAGGGAGCTGCTTGAACAGGAAACTCATCTTCTGGCTACCCCTATGCTTGTGGGAGGAATGGGGAAGGGTGCATGGCGATACTAAACGCGACCTGGCCTTCAAAAATACATCGGGATCCTAGGCAGTCAGGAGTAATGTTAACCCCGGACTAATAAACCCCTGGTTGATTTTCATCGGGGGGTTGGTTGCTCCCTTTTAGTGGTTGGATTCAGACCACTTTTGGAGGGGTTTCCATCCCCCTGGGACGAGGGTCAGCACGAGTGGGGCCGTTTCCTGAGGCTCGCTCCCCGAGTTTCTGGGCTTCGAGCTTTTTGGGTAGACCATGGAAGTGCTCAGCAAACAGTTTGGACCTTTGGCCCATCCACGAAGTGAGGTGAGAAGGTTCTTCCATATGTTTCTGAAAGAGTGGATCATCCACTCTTGAAGTGAGAGGAAGTCAGGAGGTTCTTCCATATGGCTGTGGTTGTCCAAACCAATGGGATCCCATTTTGGTTGGTAGGTGAATTCACCACCCATTTTAGTCGGGATTTTAGTGGGGATGGGGGTGCGGGAATTTGACCCATGGCCATATGTCCCTTCAGGTGGATCATCCACTCTTGAAGTGAGATTCTTCCATATGTCCCTTCAGGTGGATGACTTGAGAATGTCCTTGTGATGTGTCTAGGTGCGGATAGCCGCCCTGTTTATTTGTTGCATGTGGGCAGACCCGATCAAAGGTTTGAATTGTGACTCTCCTCGTTGTTTCCATTGGCAAATTGACAAGCAACCTTTCTCTATGGCTCAATTGCAGGGTTTAACATCAACTGGATCAATGACAGGGTTTCCAAAATAATTTGGGTTGGTTTGGGGTTCATTTAGGCTTGGAAAAGGCGGGCTGCTGCTGGGGGAGTGTCGGGTTGACTTTGGGTGGGTTTGGGTCGGCTTGGAGCTGATTGGTGCTAGCTGTTCGGCTGGTTTTGCAGTGGCTTTAGAGTTGCTTTGAGTTGTGGTGACGTGAGTTTTGGGCTGGCTTGGGATTGGTGTGGGCGCGTCCCAACCAAAACTAGCCCCAAACTCACGTAAACACACCCACTCAAGCAACCCTCGAGCTGCTGAGGGCGCACACCTCAAGATCTCCGGCCGAGAACTCACAAACCCACCCGAGCAACTCTCTGACATCCGATTAACCAAGGTTCAGGTGAGGGATGCTATGCGATGCCCAACCAACGAGCATCGGCTCCCATCGTCCGGTTCCGGAAAGGCGGTTCTGGGTGTTTTGTCCGTTTATTGCTCGGATTTCGACATGTTCTCCCACAGTTTTAAAACTGTTTGCAGAGGACAGTCTTGAGTCTAGCAAATAAATGCACCTCTACCTGGAGTCTCCTTCTGACCCTTCAAAAAACAACTGGGGGTCATGGACCCATTTTGTGTGACGGGTCAGGAAGAGACTCCAGGTACTCCCATACTCGACCTTTTGAAGCCAGGCCCGGCCAAAATGGGGATCCAACCCGGACGGCACCTGGGGAGACTTCCATATACTGCTGAAGCGACGCTCGCCAAATTTTTTGTTTTTCTCGGTGGCCGGCCAGAAACGGGGGGTTCGGAAGTGGGGACATGTGCTCCAGGGGTCGATTCGTAGATTTCCCTTTTGGGTTTTGAAGATCACCTTTTGGGCCCATGAAAGGTGAGTGTTTTCTTGGCGGGGGTGATGTTTCAGGGGAAACATGGGGAGCCCTGTGTCGCTTTCATGGTTGTACACACGGGGGGGGGGGGGGCGGGGAGGGGCGGAAACCATCTTGAGGTCAAGAGATCCTCCGACTTTGTCCTTTGTCCAACAATCAACTAGGTCCCCCAGTAGTGCCCTTGTACCATTTTTTTTTTTTTGGGAGGGTTCCCCTACTAAAATAGACGACAGCAAAAAGCTGGTACCCTTATTCTAACCTCTCAAATCTGGAGAACCTAGTCAATCATGGAAATAGACAGGAGGTGTTCGAAGACAATCCTCTTGCAATCTGAAAATGCCTATCCAATTCTGGACAGCGAGTACAACTACCATAGGGGCAACTGAATCCTGGGATTTCCTACCATAGGGGCAACTGAATCCTGGGATTTCCTACCATAGGGGCAACTGAATTCTTGGATTTTGGTTTCCTCATGTCACCCAGAGTCGATTTGCAGCGGATCCACACGTGACACGCCGCAGGGGCCGAGGTTTTTCTTCGGACTCCGGAGGATGTGGTTGTGAAAATGGCTACCGTACCCCATTTCGTTGGTTTTTACCAGGAAAGTCAAGGGAGAGGGCCCGAGCTGGGCGGGCAAATCTGTTTGCAGAATGCACCGGTTCCGAAGCCTCCTTTTCAGGGGAGCGGGTTCCTGGGTGATGGAGTGATGGACAAGAAACCTTGACCAAACAAGCTGGTATTCGGTGGTGTCCTCCAACATTTGTGGGGTTCCATCCTTCCCAGGTGGTGTCAGTGTATGGGGTTCTGTCCATCAACAGTGTTGGCCTCCGTTTGATTTCCCTAGCTGAAAGCTTTGGCGTTTGTGCCCTGGAGTGGTTCTGGGGGTTCCTGGGCTGTTGTGACACCCGCATGAAGCAACCAAGAAGTATTGGGATGAACCACCAACCAAGAATTGTGTCCATCAACAGTATTGCTCACTTCCTGAGTTCATGAACTTTAAAAGCTTTTTGGGTTTGGACCATTTTAGTGGTAAATAAAAAGTTTGGTTGCTTTTTTTTGGCCATCCACTCAGCAAGTTAGTATTGGGGGTTCTCAAAACAGTGGACCCCTGTTGGCGGCCGTTTCAAGGGAACCGAGCCATTTTTTGCCGGCCGCCGGTTTGGGTATGGCCTCGTTTCTTTTTTTCAGGGAACCTGAATCGGTGACTGTTGTCAGCGAACAGGGAATCCACACATTTTGGAGATTCCTCAAACTATTTTGAGACACCCGAAAAATATTCCCATTTTTTGCACAGTTCACCAGTTTTGAGAAAAATACTCGTAGATGAGTTTTTCTTGGGAACAGGGTGGTGTTTTTAGGCTGGAAATCTAAACCAGATTATGGAGATTCCATTATGTCCCCTATTTTAGAGATTCCTACCCCGTGCCCTTTCTCAGTTGTGCAAGGGACCCAGAAGTCAAAGGTGATCACATTTTGGCGCCACTCAACATGCGTACCAACAAAGAAAAACTTAGATCTGGTCGATTTGCGGGCAAGTGAGTGGTTGAAAAAAAACAACAACCGCAGCTCAGGGAAACCAACTCGCAGGGATACAGAGGAAACCAGGATACGGGAGGATTTTTTTCTAAATGCACCCTCCGCATCCCCGCTTGTGCGTTTGTCCAAATCGCTTTCTATTTCTGCAGTGGAGCCGGTTCTTGGGCAATAAGATTCGTACATCCCAGTCTCGCAGGGTTCCACCTTTGCCTTGCAGGAAGTTAACTGAAACCGAGAGGTTCTGCCTGGGGAAATGAACCGGGGTTGAAGGTCTCAAGTGGATGTGTTTTCGGTATATCCTATAGCTTTTGTATGCAGCATACTCAGGCATCCTCAAGAAGGGGCAGTCCAAGGACTTGGTGATCCCCCTTGGAAGCTGGATGGCTGCTTGGCTACGGTCCATGGGCGAGCTTCTTCTTTTTTCCCCCCCCGGTAGCTTTCCAGCGATTTGGGGTCTCTGCCCGAATAAACTCCATAGTTTTGGGGGCAGCTTTCGAGATTCGGTTCAAAAGGAGATTCAGTTTTCAAAAGGAGCTGTTGGGATAGCACTCGGGCTTTGTGTTTGTTTTTCTTTGGCCGCAAGCCAATTTAGAAGGTAGAGGGACATTCTCAAGTTTGTAGGGAATAAAAACCAAGGCTTGCTTGGTTGTTTTTTTTCCCACCCAGAGGCTCTGGGGCTTTCCATGGAAGACACGACCCCTCCATTAGACACCCCGCTTCGGTGTTTGGGGGTCTCAAAACCCGGCATTGATCGAATTGGAGCGTCTGGGCAACAGCAATCAGCTTGGGTTTCTATCTCTAGGCCCCAGGCAAGGGGGTAAGTTTGAAGCCGGGAACCGCCTGACCGCCTAAGCCTGGAACCTGGTAGCAACACGTGGCTGTTGCAAAAAGAGTTGGGAACCCCAAAATGGAATCCTAATGGAAACATGGACATTCAATCCATGTACATATCCTAGTGGTTTAATTTGCACCCATACCCATGTAGCAAACCTGGGTTATTTATTTATTTATTTTTGTTCACAACAGCTGGAAGCTTTCGGGTCTCTGCCCAAATAAGCTCCAGAAAATGTTCGGGGAAGCTTTCAGGGAGGGATACCGGCGGCTCCGACTTTGCGCTGCGAATTGCCAGGCTTTCTCCAGGGTCGAACGCAAACTTTGCGAAAGACCGCCAATGGGTATGGGTCAAAATGAAATCAGGGGACCGTGGGGTAAATGGTCCTTGAGACCATTTACCAGGGCTCCATTTTGGGCACCTATGTTTGACCCACAAACAGATAAGGCCCGAACCCTTGTGTTCTTTTTTTTTGGGGGGGGTGGCTTCGGTTTGCGTTTAGGTTGCGAAAGATAGCTCGATTTTCCGCTCCGGCGCAAGTGTGGGTGAGGAACCATGGTGATCACGTGGGTATGTCTCAAAAAATTGGGATCGCCAAGCTGGTGGTCTTCCCTTTGGCTTCCCTTCCAAACCGCAGGGTACCGGTGTTTGCACACATTTTTTCGCGCATTCGCGGAGGAAGGGAATCCGTGAGATCTGTCCGATGTATTCAAGCAGAACATAAGCAATCCGTGGAATCTTTACGATGTATTCAAGCAGGACATGGTGAGTTAACATGGTGAGTTGCGCATGTCAAACGTTTGGTTATCCATGTTCTGCTCACGCGACAGCCAACTTGATTCTTCTAGAGAACGGTTTGGATGCGCTTTTTGTGGGTTTCACCTGTTCTTACCCCTGTAGGTTCTTTTTTAGTACTCTTTTAACACTCTTTAAATATCCTAGAGGGGTGGTTCCACAAAAGCCACATCTCAGTCACGGATCCCAATCTTCCGCATGGGAATATGTGAATTCTTGGGATTCTTTGAAAGGGCTGCTACCGGAATCCAGCAGAATTTGGGTGTGGGTCAAAGTTTCTGGTAAATGGAAACAAAGAGAGAAAAAACAGCGGTCCATATCCTGGTGGATTTTTTTTGGACCCACACCCATTTGGCTGTGGGTCAAAACCAATGGTACCATTTCGGGGTGGGTGCACCACTCATTTTCGTCGATTTTAGTGGGGATTGGGATGTTCACTGGGGGTACGGGTTTTTGACCCATGGCCATTTCTTTCCGCCTGAAAAGCACATCTCGTGTTTTTTGTTTTTTCTCCGGAAGCGAAGCGAGGAGATTTGCACCTGGTGCGCCTCCTTATCAAGCAAGCAGCTCATTGCCATCTTGCAGCCTGGAGTATTTGAGGGGCTTGGGCTTGGGCTTAATATAACCTTCCATTTGGGTTAATATTTTTTCCCAGTGTTGGTTTTAAAGAGCATCTATCACTACTGGAAATATTTATTATTGCTTCCAGGGAGCTGCGGGTTGGTTACTGTTGAGCCCATATAAATCAACCCCAGTTTATTAATACGGGTGTCCCTGCGCTTAGTGGGGATTCTTCATGTTTGCGGGGGAACACCCCCACATGAATACACAGGTGTCACAGGGGTTTATTCATCCGGGGTCAACAAGAATGGGGGTGGAAGGTGGGCTTAGGAACACGTTTCCCGAATTGGGAAAAGGGGTGGATTGGTGCGTTCACAGGAGGAAAAGTTTGGGAGCCAAATATCCTGGATCCCCAAAGGGGAGTTGCCTCAAAGGGAGCAGTTCAGCAGATTTGTGAACGGGAACTTTAGTGGCCAGGTTTCCACGCATCAGCCAAGCCCTTAGCAATATGTTTGATTCTTCCCTGTTGGCTTTAAAGGGAATCTATCCTTGGACTGTTGTTTTCCCCCGACCTAAGCAAATAGAGGTTCAGGCGGGGTGCCCAATTCATTTGTCCATTTTGTCGCAGGCAGACGGTCCTGGAGTTCTCTAGCGCGCCAGAGCCCGAGCAAGTCGCCCCTTTGGCCGCATCGGAAGGAAAAGGAAAAGGGCGGATGGCGGTTGGTCAAAACCAAAATGGACACCGAAATCCAAAAGGTAGGGGTTCCTTTTTTTCTGCTGCTATTTGCTGGGATCTTTACATCCAGACCCAATACTATTTCATTTGCTGTGAGCTTGAGTGAAGAGGCATGATGATTTAGGGATCTTGCTGGTGCTCAACTGGCGGAATCCTTGAAGTGGATCCGCAAGTCGTGGGTTTTGGTCGGGACGGGTGTGGACAATGTTTTTTTTTGTTGAGGTGGGTGTGTCTGAAAAGGGGGGACCCCTAAAAATGCTGAGTTATTGATGAGAAACCATCCACAAAGAGGTCCCCTATTTTGGAAACCCATATCTGGCGATGATTGGATTATCAATGTTCTTTGCCCAGTTGTTCAGAGGCACCCTTCAAATCCCTGTTTGTTTGGTGGATTTTCACACAAAATTATCTGCCCCCCAAAAAAGAAAATTCTGAAGCGCCCCGAATCAAGGGATTCATATTTCATGGTCGACAATTCTGGCGCACAGCAATCGAAACCCTCCTGGCGTGTTTGCTCGCCATACTGTGGATGGAGGAAATCCGTTCGCACCACTTTGAAACCATGGTTGAAACCGTTGTTTGTTGGTATTTACAGGGGAATCGACTCATTCCGGGGTTTCTTAGGTAGTGCAGGATTTTGTGCATCCCCAATTCCGTTGGAAAAAGATTGGGACTTCTCCACTGGCATTCCGTTGGGTTTCTTGGGTGGTGCGCGGATTTCGGCCATCAGTGCCCATTCCGACCGAACGCGCCGAAAGCCATGCGGCATCAAGCCGAACAAAAAGCCGCTCTTAGTCACCGAATCTTGGACCATTGGCAGGGCTCCTTAAAAGATACATGTTGCAACCATTTGAAACATGTTGTTTTTTCAACACCAAAATAAAGGGAAGCCACCATTTACAAGGCAATGTTCAGGTGTATAATGTAAGGATCCCTGATTGGGTATAATTATTTCCCCTGATGAAAAAGAGCCTAAAAGTCTTGTTTTTGTTCTATTAGATTATACAATCCTCCAAAGAGCAAATCCAAGCTGAACTTGGGGATAGGGGATAGAGCTCACGATGTAGATGATGTGTAGCTCCTTCATATTGTTATATACCCCGGCTCAACGAGTGTTTGTTGGCCAGTCCACTCAGGAAGGGAGACTTTGGATAAACGCCTTTAGTATCGTGAGTCAGCTGCAGGTTTCTCAAAATGGCGAGTGTTGCCTAAGATCGTGTGCTCTGGGTTCCTTTGAAACACCAAAAGAAGGTCCAACATGTTCTAGGTCCCCCAGTAGTGCCCTTTAACCAACTTTTTTTGGGGAGGGTTCCCCTACTAAAATTGACTACAGAACAAGACGGTACCCTTATCCTAACCTCTCTGCTGGCGGACCTAGTGTTGAGAAACTCTCCGATGGCTTTGCCTGTTTCGCAGGTGAAGCTGGCCGAACAGCTGGATGTGGTGGAAGAGTCGGCTGATGGAAATCAAACTCAGCCCAGAGAGGCGCTCTAGGTGCGACGATGTGGAGCTCTTGGCGTGGTTGAAGTTCAGTTAAAGAAGGCGTTTCCATTTCAAAGGCTCGGAACCGCTTATGGATTTCTGGGTTGAGCAATGTTCTTTGAAAGCCCCAAGATGACTTTTCCCAGTGGTGAAAGTCATGTTTGTCGTGTATCCCTGGCATTCGCACGCAAAGGAACCTTTAATCTTGAAGCGACATTCTGTTCCGAGATGGGTGCTTTACGGAGGCCGGTTCTCAGTCCCGCAACATACGCCGAGAAGAGATCTCCGGGCTACCAGGGCTCTGGATGGGATTTTCGAGCATGCGGGTCCCTTGAGGTGAATGTTGAGGATCTCTCATTTTCGCAAGCCGCTTGTAGGCGAGCTGTGTTTTTTTCTCTTTTTTTCCAGTGAACATAGAACGTGTACCGGAGTTCTCAAAGTTTCTGGTGGTGCTTGCCCTTTCTATGCGAAGGGTAACTTTCAGGATGTTACTTGAGTAAGTTTTGTACTTGGGCCCAGCGTCCCTGGCGCACCTTGGCGGGAAGGTGTGAGCATCTTCAGTGAACCCGTCAGCAGATCTACGGTTAGCCTGAAGAAGACAGAGAGCGCCAGCATCCAAAACAAGATACTTGTCTAGGTCCCCCAGTAGTGCTCTTTTTACCAACTTTTTTGGGGGAGTTGTTTTTTGTTTTCCGAAAAATAAACATGACTACAGAAAAAAGGGTACCCTTATTCTAACCTCTCTGCTGGAGGACCCAGATGTCCAGGGCGATGTGTTTGACCAGCTTCAAGATGTGTCGATGGACTTAGGGGTAGAAGCAACCAGCAACGCCCACCACTTGCAGTAGCATGTCTGAAGAAGCACCGGGCTTCTTCGGTATGTATGAATGTATGTATGTAATGTAATATGCTGTAATGCAATGTAATGCAATGTAATGCAAAGCAGTGCAATGTAATGTAATGCAATGTAATGTATGTACGTATGTAATGTAATGTCATGTAGTGTCATGTAATGTAATGTAATGTAATGTCATGTAATGTATGTAATATTGGTATGTATGTATGTAATGTATGTATCTATGTATGTATGTATGTATGTATGTATGTATGTATGTATGTATGTATGTAATGTATGGGTGTAATGTATGTATGTATGTATGTATGTATGTATGTATGTATATGTAATGTAATGCATGTAATGTATGTATGTATATATGTATGTATGTATGTAATGTATGTATGTATGTATGTATGTATGTAATGTAATGTAATGTAATGTAATGTAATGTAATGTAATGTAATGTAATGTAATGTAATGTAATGTAATGTAATGTAATGTAATGTAATGTAATGTATGTGTATGTATGTATGTATGTATGTAATGTAATGTAATGTAATGTAATGTAATGTAATGTAATGTAATGTAATGTAATGTAATGTAATGTAATGTAATGTAATGTAATGTAATGTAATGTAATGTAATGTAATGTATGTATGTATGTATGTATGTATGTATGTATGTATGTATGTAATGTAATGTATGTATGTATGTATGTATGTATGTATGTATGTATGTATGTATGTATGTATGTATGTATGTATGTATGTATGTATGTATGTATGTATGTATGTATGTATGTATGTATGTAATGTATGTATGTATGTATGTATGTATGTATGTATGTATGTATGTATGTATGTATGTATGTATGTATGTATGTATGTATGTATGTATGTATGTATGTATGTATGTATGTATGTATGTAATGTATGTATGTATGTATGTATGTATGTATGTATGTATGTATGTATGTATGTATGTATGTATGTATGTATGTATGTATGTATGTATGTATGTATGTATGTATGTTATGTATGTATGTATGTATGTATGTATGTATGTATGTATGTATGTATGTATGTATGTATGTATGTATGTATGTATGTATGTATGTATGTCTGTATGTATGTATGTATGTATGTATGTATGTATGTATGTATGTATGTATGTATGTATGTATGTATGTACGTATGTATGTATGTATGTATGTATGTATGTATGTATGTATGTAATGTAATGTATGTAATGTATGTATGTATGTATGTAATGTATGTATGTAATGTATGTAATGTAATGTATGTATGTAATGTAGTGTAGTGTAGTGTAATGTAATGTAATGTAATGTAATGTAATGTAATGTATGTAATCTTGGTATGTATGTATGTGATGTATGGGTGTTGGTATGTATGTATGTGATGTATGGGTGTATGTATGTATGTATGTGTATGTATGGTATGTATGTATGTAATGTATGTAATGTATGTAATGTCATAATGTAATGTAATGTAATGCAATGTAATGTATGTAATGTATGTAATGTATGTAATGTATGTATGTAATGTAATGTAATGTAATGTAATGCAATGCAATGCAATGTAATGTATGTATGTATGTATGTAATGTATGTATGTATGTATGTATGTAATGTAATGTAATGTAATGTAATGTAAT